GGCCAGACCATGACGGGGATCTCCATCCTCAGTCCTCGGATCGAGATCCCAAGATCCTCGAGTCCAAGCTGGGCGATTCTCGGATCCACAATCCGGGGTGCCCGAAGATGTTCGGGGCCAAGATCGAGGGTCCTCGATCCGAGCATCGAGGACCGAGCCTCGTCGATGGCGGCCTGGGCCCGAACACCCGCGGCCCTCCAGAGGGGCTCCCTGGTGATCGGGCGCAGACGCTCCCAGAGACGACTCGGCCCACAGCCATCGTGCTGCCATGGGGAGTTCTGGAAGAAGGAACGAAGGGCCTCTCTGCCCACGGCAGAGTGCAATCTGGGTTGTGCAATCTAGGTTGTGCAATATACGCGGTGCAATCTATGTGGTGCGCAGTCTATGTGGTGCCTGCGACGTGGTGCAATCTGTGTGGTTCAATAATGCTGTGCAACATCTGTGTGCAATCTATGTGGTGCAATTGATTTATACCCATGATTTGACACACCCCATGCTCTTGCAAACGTCCCACCCACCCACCCGCAACTTGGTTTGCAAAACCTCTTAAGCCCGCGACGGTAGGTACCAAATCGTACTTGGCAACGACACCGACGCCGACGACGACAGCGACAACGACAACGACGACGACGACGCCGCCGACGACGACTACGACGACTCCGACGACGTCTCCAACGACTGCGACGACGCCGACAACGACGACGACGACGACGACGACGACGACGACGACGACGACGACGACGACTCCGACGACGACGACGACGACGCCGACGCCGACGACGACGACGACGACGACGATGACAACGACGAGACGACGACGCCGACGACGACGACAACGACGACACCGACGACGACGACGACGACGTCAACGACGCCGACGACGATGACGACGACGACGACGACGACGACGACGACGACGGCGGCGACGACGACGACGCCGACGTCGACGACGACGAAGACGACGACGACGCCGACGCCGACGACGACGACGAAGACGACGACGACGTCGCCAACGAAGACGACGACGAGGGAGGAGGGGGGACGACGACGGCGGCAACGACGACAACGACGACAACGACGAGGGAGGAGAGAGGACGGCGACGACGCGAACGACGAAGAAGGAGGAAGGACGGCGACGCCGACGACGACAACGACGCGGGAGGAGGGAAGACGACGACGACGACAACGACGACGACGACGACGACGACGACGACGACGACGACGACGGCGACGAAATAAGAGGGACGACGACGAGACGCCGGACGACGACGACGACGACGAGGGAGGAGGAGGAAGGACGACCACGGCGACAACGACGACGGAAACGACCACGACGCCAAAGAGGACGACGACGACGAACACGAGGAAAGACAGAGGACGACGTAGGCGACGACGACGACGACGCGGGAGGAGGGAGGACGGCGACGACGACGACGACGACGCAAGAGCGCGCGCGCACGCTTTTCTTGAAAATCCGTCTTGCGAAACCTTCTGCTTTTGTAGGTTTATTGGACACACGATGTTGAAATCCTTCCGAAACCGATGGGTTTTGAAGGATTTCGGCATACGCGCGCGGCGACGCGAGCGTCTGCACTTCGTCCCATGTTTTGCAGATGATTCTCGCGACGGCACACGCGCAAGGGCGCTCGACAGACTTCGGCATGCGCGCGCGAAGCCCGTTTGGTAGAATGTCGTGAAAATCTTGTAAAACCTATGGTTTTCTTAAGATTTCGCAAGAGCTCGCGCGTAAGCTTGTTTAGCAAATCATTGTTGCGAAACCCTGTGTTTTTGTATGTCTTTTGGAAACTCGATTGCGAAATCCTTCCGAAACCGAAGGTTTTTGGAGGATTTCGGAATGCGCGCGCGACGACGCGCGCGTGTGCATTTCGTCCAATGTCTTGCAAGGGATTTGCGAAAAAGTGTTATGTTAGAACAGAAGATGTCCCCGCGTATCGTTTTTTACCAGGGAACCTCAGGGGCGTCGATCCCAGCCCCTCGGGGATAATGCAACTTAAGATTTAGGATGGACATGTGGTCAGAATAAGATATATAATTTATATACCCGAAAGGGGGGATAACGCCGGGGGGGGATAGAGTCGATTGTCTTTTTAGAAAAGAGAATCTACGTGGTGCGATCCATGCGGTGCAATCCATGTGGAGCGGTCGATGTTGTGCAATCTAGGTTGCCACGGGGCGGCGCCGGCGACCAGAGCCGCCAGACCGCCACCCAAGCACAGACGACGGGCGGCGACGAAGCGGCGACAAGGCGTCGACGGCGAGCACGGAGCCGCCAGACCGACAATCAGGCCCTGACGACGGGCGGCCACGAGGCGGCGGCGACGGCGAGCAAGGAGCCGCCAGACCGACAATCAGGCGCGGACGACGGGCCACAACGAGGCGGCGACGGGGCGGCGACGGCGAGCACGGATCCACCAGACCGACAATCAGGGCCACTTCCTTAGAAGAGAAATAATAACCCCGAATTGCAAGCACAGCTTGAGGAACAATAAACTTCTAAATCCAGATCCCTTACAAACAAAAAAACCCTTGTCACACAACCAGACACGTCCGTAGGATAGGCCGCCCGCTTCGCCTGATAATCCTCACAGCTCAAGATCCCAAAGTGTATACAATTCCAACAGCTGCACGAACAACATAGAAGTCATTTTCAAATTGAGTCTCTCGCCTTAGCGCCGCGCATTGGAAGCATGCACCAACTGCACGGATTGAGGACAGGTCCTTCGCAGAACGCGGTTCTGGCAATAGCTTCACGCACATTCGCCTCCGAAGCTTGCAACAACTGCGCGGAAAGAGGTCGGGTCCTTCTCAAGTTGGGCTCTCGCCCCTGCGCCGCGTTCATTCGTTCTGAAACCGTGCGGCGGTCACACGGATGGAGGCCAGTTCGTTTCGAAATGGGGCTCTCGCTTCAGACCTCCTCCGCAATACTCGCGCATGCGTAACATTGTGCAACACCCACACGAATGGAGGCTGGTTCACTATCAAGACGGGGCTCTCGCCTGAGACTTCCTGAATCACGATTACCACGATTACAGAACGGTGGACCAATTACACGGGTTGAGGGCGCTTCCTTTCCGACATTGGGCTCTCGCCTCCGAACTAATTCGAAAGCATGGCCAGAATTACAACATGGCACTACAGTTACACGGATGGAGGGCGGTTCCTTCTCAAAGCGGGGCTGCCGCTGGTAACTTTGCTGAAATTGCGCTCGAAAGATGGGGTGGGGATTATTTCGAGACAGAGCTTCCGCCTGAATTGCGGACCCGTGAGGCGCTCGATTATGAAGAGGGGCGCTTGGAGCAGTGTAAAACAGTCGATGTATGGAATAATGAGGACGGGCAGGGTGCCTTGCAGAATCGCTGGTACATCTTCGGTTAATTCAGGTCCTCCTCCTCCTCCTCCTCCTCCTCCTCCGCCGCCTCCCCTATCCGTCGCCCATCCTCTGCGGCCACTTCGGCCCCATGGCGACGACGGCGGCGACGACGGCGGCGACGTCGACGACGAGCCCAACCATCCGACGTCGAATTTTCGTTTCAGGTGGCTCCCCAGAGGTCTGGACCCCTACATGGGGACCGGCTTTCTATCCTGAGTCGTGGTTTAACGGCCCCAGAGCCCGGCAAGGGCCGCAGAGGGCCAAAACAGCTGCAGAAGACAGCCCGCCGTGACCTTCCACGACGCGAGGATGTCAACAGCGGCTCTCCCCCGCGGCCGAAGGTCCACAAGGAACGAAACACGCCAGGAGGAGCCCTGGACTGGCCCTCCTCCGAGTCAGCGACGAGGGCCCGTCCTTCTGGATGTCGCCGTCCGCCCGGAGCCTCAGGCTGAACCGCTCGCAGAGCGCCTCCTTCGTCAGCCCCGCGAGGTCCTCGGGCGCCCGGGCCCCGCGCTTCCGAGGCGCCCGGCGCGCGCGCGGAGGGACGGGGGGGGCCGAGAGACTGGGAGGTCGAGGGGTAAGACGAAGCCCAGGACGAGGATAAAAGCGGGTGAGGGTAAATCGAGAATCCCTGAGATCAGGCGGCTCTGGAGGACGTCTCGGGCGCCGCGGCCTTCGCAGAGCGTTCTGGAACACTCTGGAACGGAGTTAGCCTCGTCCCAGCCCCGTCCGAAGGAATGGCGGATTAGGATGCAACTCCTGGGAAGTCTTCGTAAGATCAGAACGAAGAAGGGCTAAGCGAGATGAATGCTGGACTATGCTGGATTAGGCGAATGAAGCGGCATTGTTCAGAGCTAAGCGAGATTATGCTGGACTATGCTGGATTAGGCGGGTTTTGAGACGACGGATCTGTCAGCGCCGAGATGCTGAATTAGTCCTCCCAAAAGTTGCATCCTGAGCTGGAGGTGGGGGTGCAGTCGAACCCTGACCCCCTCACGTCGTAGAGGCTTCTGTGTGCCTCGAAGCGTTTCTGAAGGTTTTCGGGCCACGGGGTGCTCTCCAGCAGATGCGTCTCCTTGAGGGCTTTCCAGGGTTGCGCGAGTTACGGCCCGCGAACTGACACCATCGCGTCGCGAAAAAAGTGCGGCGGAAGATGCTTGGCAGTGGTCGGCCTCCGGGGGCCCATGGGCCGTCAAAAACTACCCCGGATGAAAAAGAGCCGGTCCCTGGAAAGGGGTCCATGGCTCCTGGGGAGGCACGTTGCAAAAAAGCATGGCGTCGGATATCTGGGTAATCAACAGCGTGCGCCTGCGATAAGGACATCATGACATCATGACGCAGGGAATATCGGAGCGCATTCGTCGTCAGTCTCACGACTTGGTAGGGTGCCCCAGGGCTTTGAGGGTTCCCCCTGTAACGGGGGGATAAACAACTTTCGTGGGACAGCTGCTGGCAGGCCTGCGTCTTGTTCGACGTGTGTGACTGTTGGCCCCCAGTGTGCGAGGAAGGAGGAGGGTGAGTGGGCCTGATGCGATCACCCTTTGGGTACTCTCTTACTTGTGCACCCTTGAAGACCACTGGACGAAGATAAATTCAGACGATGAGGAATCGGGAATATCTCAGAGCTGTGGCGGTCTGGAGGATGCATCCATCGGGCGCCGCGGCCGTTTCAGATCGCTCCAGAACGATCTCAGAGCGTTCCAAAGCGCTCTGGAGCGATGTATCTTCATCCTAGGCCTGCTTCGTAGCACGGAGGGATGCGGCACACGGTCGCCAAGCAGACCAGGGCACGCCACGCTCGAGCAGACCTGCCACAAGGCTGGGCACCCGACGTAAGCAGCGACTGGTCACGATGTAGGCCTCAGAGCCCCCAGCCCATCTTCCCAGGACTGGTGCATCGCCCGCGGGCATGTTCTGGACAGGGAAGGAAAAAATACCGATACGGCTACTCTCTGGGCCTCTCGCGGGGTGCGTCCTGACAAGAATTTCGAGGCGAATCCAGCAGTGGCGACGAGGGCATCCCAGGAGGCCCAAAACGGCGAAAACGAGGCGAGGGTAGCCGTATCGCTAGGTCGGGCATGTCTTCCTACATGCGGATTTTGGAGGAAAACTGAAGAATAGTCACACGAGCCACGAAAAATCGCCACCAAACTATCTTCTAACTAGTCTCCAATGCTCCTCCTGCAGAGGGACGTGCCCGACTTCACGGCATCGGTACGGTTTCCTCCCTCGAGTTTCGGGTCGGGCGAAAGGGGGGGATAGCAAAGGGGGGGTTTGAGAATCAGAATCAGCTCCCGTAGCTGATTTTCCCGGCGCCTCCCGGCGCCGGAGGCGGCTATGTATCGAGGAATGGGCCCCTCGGTGAGGCCGAAACCAGCTGCATGCAGCAAATTTCGTAACCCCCCTTTCCCAATCCCCCCCTTTCGCCCGACCCGAGAGTTCTGGAGGGCCCAGGGCCCTGCGCACTGCCGCACGGCCCCTCCAAAGGCCCCGGCCGCCGGAGGGAGCGCCCGGCGCCCCGTCCCGCGGCCTTGCCCGCGGCCGCGCCAGGAGGCCTGCTGCAGCACACCGCACATCGAGGCCTCCTGGACGGGGTCCGAGCAGGCGGGGTCGGGGGATCTCGCCGCATCGCCGATGCATCGGCGATGCACTGGCGACGTCGGCGTTGCATCGGCGACGTCGGCGTGGAGAAAATTGGGACCCACGTCGAGCCGCATCGCCGATGCATCGCCGATGCACCGGCGATGCGGCGCGATCCTCCGACCTCATCTGCTCCGACCCCATCTAGGCGGCCTGCAGCAAAGGGGCCCCTCGAGCTCACCGCAGCCAGGGCAGCAGGCTCGGTGTGGCAGCGAAGTACTCCGCGAAGCCTGGCACGGCGCCATATCTCTGCAGCGCCTGCTCGTCCAGACGCCGCGCGGCGCCCACCATGACCCAGCACATGAACAGCGGCCCGCCCGCCAGGAAGGCCGCCTTACGCGCTGCGGGGGCCGGCGCGGCCGCGCACATGGCCGTCACGCCCAGCCAGAACACCACCTCGCCCAGGTAGTTCGGGTGGCGCACGGCGCCGAAGAGCCCGCCTGTGACGGGCAGCTCCTGGGGATACCGAAAGTACCGATGCCGCCACTCCTCGGACCTCTCCAGGGGGGCGTCTGACCAGCATTTCGAGGCGAATCCAGCAGAGGCGACGAGGGCCTCCCATAGAAGAAAAAACGGCATAAACATAAACTTTTGGAGGTCCGCGCGGATTTCTTGGATCCGCGACGGACCCTTCTCCCTGGCGCGCGGAACGCGCCAGGGGCGGCGCTGGAGGCGCCGCCAGGGGGCCCAGCGCGGATCCAAGAAACCCGCGCGGAGCGCCAAGAGCTTTTGCTTATGGCGCTTTCTCTTCGATCCCAAGAAGCCCCAAGCGGCGAAAACGAGTCGAGGGCAGCGGTATCGGTGCCTCATCGCTCGCTCGCTCTCGGCCGAAGTGTCCTGCAGACGCGGTTCGGTGCCTCCTTCTCCTCCTCCTCCTCCTCCTCCTCCTCCTCCTCCTCCTCCTCGGAGCTCCGGCTGCAGCGCCTTGGCGGCGAGCTTCTGCTCGTCCGCCACGGCCTCCAGCAGCAGCCCCGCCAGCGCCACCACCAGCCCGGCGCGGGCGGCGGGACGCCGGGCGCGCGCGGCGGGGCCCCAGCGGCAGATGATGTCCAGGACGTACAGCGTCGCCTGCTGCACCTGGAGCATCATCATCAGCATCATCATCAGCATCAGCATCAGCATCAGCATCATCAGCATCATCATCATCACCACCATCACCATCATCATCGTCATCGTAATCGTCATCATCATCTTGAGCATGATCATCATCATCATCATCATCATCATCATCATCATCATCATCATCATCATCATCGTCATCAGCATCGTCTTCATCATCATCATCATCATCATCATCATCATCATCATCATCATCATCATCATCATCATCATCATCATCATCATCATCATCATCGTCTTCATCAGCATCATCATCATCATCATCATCACCATCATCATCGTCATCGTCATCGTCATCGTCATCATCATCTTGATCATGATCATCATCGAGCAAAAGACGGCATCAGCACCGATGTCTCGGAGCTCCGCACGGAGTTATTGGCTCGGCGCCGGATCGCCCCCCCCCCTGCCTGGCGCGCGGAGGCGAGGGGCGGCGACCTCTCCCCTCCCGGGGGCGGCGCACGCCGCGCCAGGGGGGCCGGGCTCCGAGCCAAGGCATCCGCGCGGAGCTGAGAGGAGTCGTGTCCGTGCCGTCGTCTCTTCTCGGGTGTTGCTAGGAGTACACGTCGGTCGGAAGAAAAAGTAGGTAAAAACATGAAGTAGGAAGGCGGACAAAGTGGATTGGGTCCAGGCCCCCCAGAGAACAACACAACACAGCAAAAGCATGCCGATTCTTGAAGTAGGAAGGCGCTTGAAGTAGATTGGGATCTGGGAATCCAAAAACACCTAGTTCCAACGACCGGCGTGTACCCCTGGCCCAAGATACCCCCAGCTTTTCGCTTCATTTTGGAGCCCCTGGGGCCCTCTGGGCCTCGTGAGGGGTGCTTTGGAGGCCGTTTGGGCTACCCCGAGAATCCTGGGGGCACCTTGGCCCAGGGGCACTTCTGGCAACACCCGATCTTCCTCGGGCGCCGCAGAGACGAAGACCACCACGTTGCACTTGACGAGCAGCGGCGTCTCGGCCATCCTGGCCTCAATGGCCTGCCCGTGGCTGCTGGTCAGCCAGGACTGCGAGCTCTGCCGCCGGAACAGGTACCACGTCAGGCGCAGGCCGTAGGCGGCATACAGGGCCGCGGCTGCCACGAAAGTATCCCGCTTGTCAGAGTGGGCCACATATGCCAGGAGGCCCTGCACCGCCATCGACGGCGAGGCTGAGAAATCTCTGCGTCACTCCTGTCCAGAGGCTGCCCTGAGTCGCAGGCTGGTTGGATCGGCCGCATGGTGGGGCCGAGCGGATCGTATTCCGTCCGCGGAGGAGAGGGGAGACGGGGAGAGGCACGGACGCTAGGATACGAAGCACACGCTGGATCGGTGGCCACGGGCAGTGCTCCGCGGGGAGCCGCGCGTAACCCAAGCGAGGAGGACGAGCAGGAAGGTACTAAAACCTCTCTTTGTTGTCTTTTGCCTGCCGTTGTTGCCTGAAGGGACAGACATCGTGCCACGAGGAGCGGCGCCGCAGAGGGAACGGAAAGGCTTCCCTGGCCAGGGCGAGCAACGGCCACGAGGAGGCTCCCCGACCCGGGTCCGAGGCACGGTTCGAAAACCAAGAGCCCCTCCCGGGGCCGAAGTGGCGTGATTCTCTCCACGACGCGAGGACGTCAGGAACGGGCACTTCGCTGCAGGCACTTCGCTGCGCGCGTGCAAGTAGCCGACTCTGATCCCCGGCCGAACGGACGTCACCGGCTGGAGATTCCCATCAGCTGGCGCTGGTGACCTTCTGGGTCCCCCAAGCGGCCTCTCGAATTCACTGGCTGGCGAGTATCTGCAGATGATTCTATGGTTTTTCTGCTCCCGTATACTCGGAGGATGGGAGCTGTTGGCTCGAGGCGTAGCTGACGACGCACTGGTTTCTCTGGAGGAAGAAGTAACTTGAAGTCGGGCCTGTCCCTCTACAGGAGGATGTTGGAGGAAAAATTAGAGATAATCAAAACATGTTCAAACGCATGCCAAAAATACACAAAACATCGTCCCCATAATATTTTTGGCTATGCTTGAACGTTCTCCCTGTAGAGGGACATGCCCGACTTAAAAGTAACTGCATGAACATAAGCTTTCGGAGGTCACTGCGGACTTCTTGGAGCGGCGCCCGGGCCCCCCTGGCGGCGCCCACGGCGCCGACCCTCGGCGAGGGGTATCCGGCGATTTCGGCCAGAGACGCTCTGAGGACATGCCGAGCAAGCCACGAAGAGCTCCTGGAACACTCTTCGGTGGGCCTCTGGACAAGCCGAGACGCCTCACCACTGGCTTGAGGATAGGAGCTGCTAACTCGAGGCGCAGGTCGCGAGGCACAGGTCTCTCCGCCTCGGATATGCCGTACCCGTACCCGAAAGCGAAGACGATCTTCACGAGGCCACCGGAGCAGCAGAGGCCCAGCAGCGGCCACGCCGAGAGCGGCCAGAACCTCCAGAACGGAGTCCGCCAGCTCCCTCCGTCCGCCATGGCCGGTGCTGCTCAGGGTTCGGCCGGAGCAGTCTGTTTCGGTCCCCTCGTGCTGTCGCCTTCCCTCGCTCGTGTGTGCAAGAGTTGTACCCGTATCCGCTGCATCTTGCACTTTCTGGGTAGGGGCGCCAAAAGGCCAGGGCGCAGCACATATGAATACAATACTAGCCTCGATGGGGACCTATCTTTCATCCATATCCACTGCGCCTCTGGTTCGTCTCCAAGACGCAGAAGATAGGGGTACGAATCTTGCCCGCAGTCCTGTCTTCGTTCCGCCTTCGTTGCAAGACGAAGTCGAATGGAAAGCGGTCCACGCACTCGCCAAAACGACGTTCAGATCGAGCCCTCGTGCTGCTGTGTTAGGGGGCAACTCCTGGGGGGTCTTCGTAAGAAGACTCAAGGGAGATGAAACAAGATGAAGGGACCATCAAGCTGGATAAGCCTGGATTAAGCCGAAGATTGAGGCGGGTCGATGCCGCAGTTGGCATTATACCAGCGCCGATGCTGAATTTGACCTCCCAGGAGTTGCATCCAAAGCTCTGCAGCATTCCGCGGCGAGGTTCCAGGAGAGCACAGACGCCGGAGAAAAACGCTGCGCCCCAGCGGCTGGCCAGTGGGGACCGCGTGGGCGCCGCGCCGCGGGCGCTTCAGCGAAGATGGCCGCACGGGCACTTGAGCAAAGATGGCCTGCCAGAAGTGTTCACCTTCTCCTCTCACCTCCTCTCACCTCCTCCTCCTCCTTGCCCTCTGATTCGCGTCTTCCTCATCCTGCTCCTCCATCTCCCTGCAGCGGCCTCCTCAATAGCCCGTCCCTCTCCTTGTCTTTCTCCCAACATCGTGTTTCTCTTATTCTTCCTCACTCTCCTCCCAGAAGCCTCCCCCCATATCCATCGACATCCTCATCTTACTCTCACTTCTCAAAAGCCACTCCCCCTCGCTTCAGCAACAAATTATGAAGTATGTACGTGTCTCCCCGCCGGAGCTTCCATAGAATATGGTATAATCGAATCGACACCGCGCCTTAACGGCGCAACGGTCGCAGTACGAACTTCGAAACGGATCAAAGTGTCACACTTTCCCCATGGCCAAAGGAACGTTCATTCGTCACGGCCATGCTTCACAATACCATCAACATTAGACAGGCGGCGCACTACGGTAATCTTCAAAAAACCCTAAGCCTCTGACCCTCGCCGGATGTTCTTGAGAGATTTACCGTCGGTGTTTGACGAAATGGCCCCGGGGTGCGCGCTGCGGAGCAGAATCCGGCCTGGCAAAACAACAGAGCAGACGGCAGGCTCGTGTCTTAACGTCATCGGTGATTTCGAATGCCGTGGAATGCCCGACCTGGAACGATCGCGGCTTCCCGAAAGCCCAGAAACACCTGGGGCCTTCTGCCAGGGCACATTTGACCTGCATGGTCTCTCGATATATGTACACACAGAGACATACATATATATATATATATATATATATATATATCTATATCTATATATATATATATATGTATGTGATCCAGGGTCGAGGGCCCACGGGCCCCCCCCCCCCCAAAGATGGTATGGTCCCAGGATTCCTCGGGCCCCCCCCCCCCCCCCAGATGGTATGGTCCCGAGACGACGACGACGACGACGACGACGACGACGACGACGACGACGACGACGACGACGACGGCTGCGACGACGGCGACGACGGCGACGACGACGACGACGACGACGACGACCACGACGACGACAACGACGGCTGCGGCGGCGACGACGCCGGCGGCGGCGGCGACGACGACGATGACGACGATGACGACGGCGACGACGACGATGACGACGACGACGACGATGACGACGACGATGACGACGACGACGACGAGGACGACGAGGACGACGAGGACGACGAGGACGACGAGGACGACGACGACGACGACGACGACGACGACGACGACGACGACCTCTGAACCACCACAGCACCACACCACATCCACAGGGGGGGGGAGGGGGGCACCGCAGTGCAACACCACGCCACGCCCACCTCTGAACCACCACAGCACCACACCACATCCACAGGGGGGGGGGGGGGGAACCGCAGCGCAGCACCACGCCACGCCCACAGGGGGGGGCGGGGGGGACCATCGCGCGGGGGGGGGGGGGCCCAATGGCATCAGCATTGGGGGGGGGCCAAACCCTGGACCATATTATATATATATATATATAACACACATATATAAATATACACACATATATTCCTCTTCCTATATTTTTACAAGCCCAAGGGGGGGGGGGGAAACCATCCCCCCCCCCAAAACTGGACCCCTGGGATCTGGGGTTCTCGGGCTCCCTTGGACGTCCTTGGAAAAGGTCACCCGGCTTTCTGGGTCTCCACAAACGCCATGCCAGCAGACCCAGACCGATCCGAGGAATCATCAGAAAGGCCCAAGGGAGGCCCCAGACAGCACAAGAGCGCTCCAAGAGGGACTCCAAGGCACCCCAAAAAGCTTTCCAAGGGCCCTTCAAACCACAAAAATCGTCCCATTCCCTGCGTAAAACTTACACTTTTAGCATATTCGCCGACGGCCCAAGAAGGCCCCAGGACGGCCCATAAAGGCGCCAAAACGGCCCACGAGGGCCCCGAAAACACCCCCACGATGTTTCCGAATGCCAACTTAAAGACCCCCAAGGCGCCTCAAAAAGCTGTCCAAGGGCCTTCAAACCACAAAAATCGCCCCATTCCCTTCGTAAAACGTACAATTGTAACATATTCGCCTTTCGGATTTCATCAGCTTTCAAGACGGTTTCAAAGCCCCCGAGATCGCCTCCAGACGCCCCAAAAGCCCCCAAGAAAGCTTCAAGACGGCCGAGCCGGGCCCCACGATCGCCCACGAGAGCCCCAAGACAGCCCATAATGGAACCAAGAGGCCCCCCAAGGGCTCCCAGCACAGACCCAAAAGGGCCATGGGAGGTCCCCGGAAGTGCCCAAGATGGGTCCAAAGGGGGCTCCAGCGGGCCCAAGCTCCCCAAGACGGCCCAAGAAGGCCCCAGGACGGCCCATGAAGGCGCCAAAACGGCCCACGAGGCCCCGAAAACACCCCCACGATGTTTCCGAATGCCAACATAAAGACCCCCAAGGCACCCCAAAAAGCTTTCCAAGGGGCCTTCAAAGCACAAAAATCGTCCCATTCCCTCGTAAAACTTACAATTTTAGCATATTCGCCTTTCGGATTCATCAGCTTTCAAGACGGTTTCAAAGCCCCCGAGATCGCCTCAAGACGCCCCAAAAGGCCCCCAAGAAAGCTTCAAGACGGCCGAGCCGGGCCCCACGATCGCCCACGAGAGCCCCAAGACAGCCCATAATGGAACCAAGAGGCCCCCCAAGGGCTCCCAGCACAGACCCAAAAGGGCCATGGGAGGTCCCCGGAAGTGCCCAAGATGGGTCCAAAGGGGGCTCCAGCGGGCCCAAGCTCCCCAAGACGGCCCAAGAAGGCCCCAGGACGGCCCATGAAGGCGTCAAAACGGCCCACGAAGGCCCCGAAAACACCCCCCCGATGTTCCCGAATGCCAACATTCATTGATTTTGCTCCCGTGACATTTCACATTGTGACCCAGTCGTTGAGGGTCTCGTGGCATGCAGCGAAGATACCCGAGGATGCCCCGTACGAGTTGCATATGCATGCTCATACCCTTTACAGACATTAAGTTATATGTACATATGTACGCTGCATACACACATACGATCATGTAGATATATTATATACACCTAGACCTTTATACGGAACGTGCATGCGAGTGCGCGTCTTTACATGATTGCGCGCATGTACGCACGCACACATTCCGCTTGCGTGCAGAACTCAAAGGACCAAGGTACATGGCGTGCAGCGCCAATGCAGTCTGGTATCTATATGTATATATATATATATATATATATCACTCTCTCTGCCCGTCTCTCTATCTCTCTTTCTTTCCTTCTCTATCCCTCTTTCTCTCTCTCTCTCTCTCTCTCTCTACATTCGCATATATGCGAATGTATATATATATATATATATATATATATATATATATATACATGGTAGTGTGTACCTCTTCTCTCTCTCTCTGGTTCCTTTCCACACACACTCTCTCGCGTTCACTCTCAGCCGAAAACCCCCTCCTCCTCCTCCTCCTCCTCCTCCTCCTCCTCCTCCTCCTCCTCCTCCTCCTGTGGGCCCAGGTCGAGTCAGCCCTCGCCGTGCCCGCCCGCCGGGCCAGGGGCGGGGGAGAGGCCCAGGTCCTCTGCGCGGATGGACGTGAACACGGAGCCGTCCTCGTTGAGGGGCACGTCAACCGGGAACTCGCACTTGCGGCCTCGGCGTCGCTCGGCGGCGCTGTTTTATGTCATTCCCAGGGACCCAACGCATTGAAAAAAACGATAGCGGTGTTTCCCACTCTTCGGCCCCTAGGGGCCCTCGCCGGGCCCCGGGACCGTCAAAAAACGACTCGGGATGAAAAACAGGTCCTGGGGAATGGGTCGAGAGTTTCGGGGCCGCGTATCGAAAAACTCCCGGCATCGGATCTCTGGAATCTTTTCTCAAAACAAGAAAATCTCCAGTTTGACCCCCTCTGCGGGGGACCAGACTCTCCCTGTGCTTTTTCTCGGGGGTCCCAGGGGGAAGGGGCAAGACGGGCGTTCTTCTCCCTCTCATTCTGCTGCGGGCGCCTGCCCTGGAGGACACATTTCCAGGCTGTACGGCGCGCGCCTGCGGGGGCAGGCTCGCTCGGCTGACTCAACTTGCGGCCTCGGCGTCGATCGGCGGCGCTGTTTTTCCCAAAGTAGGCTTGCCTCAGGGCTGGTGCCTCGGAGGGTTACTTTGCCCGCTGCTCGAAGGATTCCTCGGGTTCCCCCGGTTCCTCGGGTTCCCCGGGTTCCTCGGTTCCCCGGATTCCTCGGGTTTCCCGGGTTCGTCGGGTTTCCCAGGTTCCTCGGGTTCCCCGGATTCCCCAAGTTCCCCAGGTTCCTCGGGTTTCCCAGGATCTCCGGATTCCAGGTTCCCCCAGTTCCCTGGGTTCCCCGGGTTCCTCGGGTTCCCTGGGTCCCCCAGCTTCCCGGGTTCCCCGGGTTCCCTGCCCCCGGTGCCTCGTTTTCTTACTGTGACCGTTCTAAGCACTGCCAAGCAATGCCAAGCATTGACAAGCAATGCCAAGCAATGGGGTCGCGCTGGATTCATTGTTGAAACAGAGTGACGTTTAAAAAAATGAGCCCGGCGGAACCCCAATTAGGGGGAAGCTTCCTATTGCATGGACGCAGTGCTTGGCATTGCTTGACAATGCTTGGCATTGCTTGGCATTGTTTGGCATTGCTTGGCATTACTTGGCGTTGCTTGGCATTGTTTGGCAATGCTTGGCATTACTTGGCGTTGCTTGGCATTGCTTGGCATTGCTTGGCATTGCTTGGAACCCGAAGAGGAAACCGAGGAACCCGAGGAACTTCCAGGGAACGGGCGACGTACCCCCCCGAGGCACCACTCTTCTCAACCAAGTTAAGCACCCCTGGACTCGGCAAGCCTAATTGGGGAATGATCACAGATCTCCAGCTTGACCCCCTCTGCAGGGGACGAGACTCTCCCTGCAGGAGAAGGGGGCAAGGCGGACGGTCTTCTCCCCCTTAACTATGCTGCTGTGGGCGCCTGTCCTGGAGGACACATTTCCAGGCTGCATGGCACGCGCCTGCGGGG